GAGAGCGCAAAATGACACTGAAATCTGCCACTTTTTGCTGGAAAAATTTTACCTGCGAAAACTTACAAGTAAAAAAGTCTGTTGACCACAAACATGTGTTCGTGAATAAACAAAAGAAAGGAAGAAAAGTTCAGTTTAGTTAATTTACTATTAATCTTTAATTTTCTAATTTCCGTGCGTCAACTATGGCTGCTGTATAAAATTTTTCAATTGTACCATATTTTTCACAGAAATATACCAAAATAGATAATATTGCTGAAAGGTTCTGGCCGAATTTGTCAGTTGATCGTTAAAACGAAAATGGGATAGTTTTAAAGGCACATTTGTAGCTATATCTATTTGACTTTTGTGACAAGGAAGGGTGCTTGGAAGAGATTATTTTATTTTTGAACGCGTCATAATGTGGTATCAAAAAAACTTATTCTTTCCGAGATAATTAATTTATATGTTAAAAACATTTTTCTTATACAAAAGTATTAAATAGTAAAAAAATTTCATAGTAGGGACAATGCACCAAGCGTATAATAAATTACCAAAGGAACCACCTATTGCAACTGTGAAAGTTATCAGCTGTTTCGAAGATTGCAAGTTTTTGCAAATTTTGCAAACTGCTCAGAATTTTTGCTGCTGGATGATTTTGTGTGGAAAATACAAAAATACTCCTACCAAGTTTACCTATCAGAAACTCAGAATGGCGTGAGTTGCACGTTTTTACTGGTTTTGCGTTCAATAACTTTTTCTCATATTTTAGTCTTCCCCCTAATTTTAGTCGCTATGTTTATTTTATTCTCTGGCTGCTAGTACTTACTGGAAAATTTTATGAATAGTCCCATTATGACAGGAACTTTTTTTTTTGATTTAAGTAAGAGTTTCGTTTTTAATAAACACCACATATTTACTTAAATATGGTAGAAAAATATGACTATATTTTTATACACAAAAATTCAAAACTCCAAGTAAATAGAGTGTGGTATTTCGACATAATTGTGCTGCAGTACCGTGTCTTGACAAAAATGTATCAAAAATGTCAATGTAGTACCATTGTACTTTTGGCTTCCAAAAAGTCCAAAAAAGTACAATTGTACCATCAATTTCATCACTGGTTTGTGCCTTAATGTAATGTAATAATTGTTATCGATTTCTAATTTTGTAAAAACGACCACAACACTAATGAAAAACTCATTCGTGATCTGGAGTTTTAAGCGGACGAAGCACACAAAAGTGTAAGAGTTGTTTTTTATTGAGAAAATTATCAATTGTAACCCAACGAATATGTATTTTTAGGAAATAAAGCATCACGCCTTGTAAAGCGTTTTTTCTCAGCAAAAGGCTAGCTCTTATTTTTTCGTTCCTCGCCAGATCACGTTTCAACAGCCTTTATTTCACTTTTCGCCAAAGAAGAAACAGCAAGTGAGGTGCGTGAATAGCAGTACGCAGGTGGAGTATAATTGCCCAGCGGACTTGGTAAAAAGTGTGCACCAGAAGTATTGAGTGTGCATCTCCGGGAGTATTGAGCGTGCATCGGCTACATTGGGTTGTGCACCAGCATTTTTAAGTCGTACAGGCGAAACTAAATTGTGCACCAGCGTTGGGGGTCGGTTCGCGGTAGTATAAGTATGGATCAGCCGGCTTAATTTCGCATTCGGAATATTAAAGCGCGCACCAGGGCTCAGTAAGTGTAAAAGATTTTTAGACATGTATCAAGGAGAGAGGTGGCGTTTAGTTCGTCGAAGAAGACTTTGCTTTAATTGTTTGAAAGGCAATCACCGTAGCAGCGTTTGTCAAGAACAACATGAATGTGAACGAGAATAGAACGTGTACGCGAGGTATCGCATAGGCAAAAAGCGTCACGGCAAGCATCGAATCACGTAGCTCAGCAGCAGCAACAAGCCGCGCAGCTACAACCCGCTCCGCCGGAGGGAATACAACAAGTTTTTACGAATACTATCCCGTCTAACAAAGCATCGAAGTTTTTATTTAAAATTATACCGGTTATGTTGTACGCAAATTCGAAAGAAATCAAAACTTATGCGTTTTTCGACGAATGGTCTGCTATATCACTAATCAACCGTGACTTAGTAACTCGTCTTGGGCTTAAGGGGTACAGCGATAGTCTAACGTTGCAATGGTTCGGCAGCACAACTGTCGCTGAACCTTCTGGTAGGGTAGATGTAGAGATTTCCGGTATTGAGCAAGGTAGCAAGAAGTTTAATATGCGAGGCGTGCGTACGGTTTCAAATCTCCAATTGCCAATGCATTCAATAAGCCTATCGGACCTTCATTATAAGGATCGACATCTGCCATTCCGCGAGTATTCTGGTGCTGTGCCCGAACTCCTGATAGGATTAGACAACGCGTATCTCGGAGTACCACGACGAACGGCTCACGACGGTAGCAGAGTTTATGCGGTGGTGCTGACAAAACTTGGATGGGTAATTTACGGATCAGGAAGTCGTCCAGCTACCCATGCGCATTATTATATCATACGAAGAAACTGTTAGAGGAGAATACTAAGCGCTATGGACATCGATTCGAAACATGCTTATTGTGGAAACACGATAACATAGAGTAGGCGACGAGCCGAGAGATGGCAGAGAGAAGGTTTTACACACTGGAAAGAAGACTTAAACGCAACGATAATTTGAGTAAGGCATACACTACGATCATGGCGGAGTACGTAGCGAAGGGATACGCCCGAAAGCTTAGTAAAGAGGAAGCTGCAGTCAAAGACAAGCGTACGTGGTACCTGCCTCACTTCGGGGTGTATAACCCAAACAAGCCTGGGAAAATCAGGTTGGTGCTCAATGCTGCAGCAGAGTCGGAAGGGGTTTCCTTAAATTCAGCGATATTGAGTGGGCCAGATTTATCGCAGCCGTTAAGGACGGTACTAATGAAGTTTCGACAGAAGCCAATTGGAGTTTGTGCAGACATTGTGGAGATGTTTCTCCAAGTGAAGATCCGGAAGGAAGATCTGTCATCGCAGCGTTTCCTTTGGAGAGTCGATTCCGGGGCGCCGTTGGAAGAGTACGTAATGAATGTGATGACCTTCGGAGCCACATGCTCACCGTGCGCAGCGCAGTTTGTAATGAACAGAAACGCCGAGGATTTTCATACTACGCGAGCGATACATCTTGAAATAGCAAAAGACTTGACTACTAATACTTGCCTGATGATTTTAAGGAACTCTATGAGTAGGCGAGGTGTTCCTGTACAAATACGGTCGGACAATTGTACGAATTTTGTCGGCGCTGACCGAGAGCTGAAGTGACAACTGAAGCAGTTCGAGGACGGTAAGATAGCTGATGCACTTGCAAATAAGAATATAGAGTGGATCTTTAATTGTCCCTCGAATCCCCACGCCGGAGGTTGCTCGGAGCGCTTAGTGCGAAGTGTTAAAAGAGCAATGGGGCATGCATTATATAACGAAAATCACCATGGCCTATACCACCTAATGTGCGAAGCGGAAAACATCGTTAATTCGCGGCCTTTGACTGACGTACCGTTGGACGCCACGACTGACGAACCACTAACCCCAAATCATTTCCTTATAGGTACAGCCAATTCCGATCAAACGCCACACCCGCAGTAAGAGAAGTTCCGGGCGTCGAATTAACAGTGGCGAAAGGTTCAGCAGATGCAGTATCATTTCTGGAGAAAGTGGGTCGACGTATACTTACCCGACCTCGTCCAGAGAATCAAATGGTAACAACCAGTGAAGCCATTAGCCGTAGGTGACGTCGTCCTTGTATGCGATGGCTGTCTGCATCGCTCGAAATGGCCTATGGGACGATTGACAAAAGTATTTCCTGGTAAAGATGGTCAGGATAGATCAGCAGAAGTCCACACGAAGATGGGTACGTTCAAGCGGCCGGCTTGCATCTTAGCTAAGCTGGAATTGGGTAAATCTGGTTAGATTTACGGGGGAGGGGCTGTTAGCGCAGTTACTTGCTTGTTCATTCAAATGTATTAGTCTACTTGTACCTTAATGTTGTTAGAGTAGATACTTGCTTGTTCCAGCGAACCAATCCTCTGTTTGTACCTTAATGTAATGTAATAATTGTTATCGATTTCTAAATTGGTAAAAACGACCACATCACTAATGAAAAACTCATTCGTGATCTGGAGTTTTAAGCGGAGGAAGCACGCAAAAGTGTAAAGGCTCTGTTATGCATACTTGGCATTGCATGCACTGCTATACCATTTTTACGTAGAAATCAAAAACCAACAGACTTTTACGTATGTAATGCTGTGCGTTGGGTAACCGCTTACACGCGAAGCTCATTTAACAGATTCCTTATGTGACAACTCTCAAGCAATGCCAAGTATGCATAACAGAGCCTTTAGGGCCGGTTACTCAATGTCTGGTTAACACTAATCTGCGGTTAAACATCGTTATCGACGTTACCGACTCCCTGTTATATGCATGGAGTCGAAGACGTCGGTAGCGATGTTTAACCGCAGATTAGTGTTAACCAGACACTGAGTAACCGGCCCTAAGAGTTTTTTATTGAAAAAATTATCAATTGTAACCCAACGTATATGTATTTTTAGGAAATAAAGCATCACGCCTTGTAAAGCGTTTTTTCTCAGCAAAATGCTAGCTCTTATTTTTTCGTTCCTCGCCAGATCACGTTTCAACAGATACACCTGTACGTCCTCTCTCATAACGATTTGAAGTAAATACAACATTAATAATAAAAAAAGCAGATAAAAACGTAAATAAAGGCTAATGTTACAGTTCTGCACTCATATGTTTTTAATAACTTTTTGACATCTTTCGCGAAAAAAGGAATTATTAACACAATGTTCAGTATACGTCAGCTTTTTTTTAGTTCCTGGATACAATTTGGCATATCTAATGTGTATCTCTGTAAAAATTCTGGAGGTATAGCCTTGCTTTGCTTTCACAGCTCATGTACTCAACTGGAAGGACTTGGATACTTAGTAAGCTGCGCTTTTATTTGATTTCGCAAATTCTCGATGAGATTCATGTCCCCGGATTGTGGAGGTCATTCCAAATTAGCAAATTGTTGCTTCTGTATGCACTCTTTGCGAACATGTGCAGTGCGTTTTGGGTGAGTTTTCAGCAGAAACTTAAAAAAAATTTCTACCTAAATCATTAATTGGGACCGAGCTCACCTGCAAGTGTACATGTGGATTCATACACGTGAGCATTTCTTTCAGATCGAGAAAAATCCGAAGACGCATTTCTGGAGACTTCCCGCAACGGTTCTTTCATACAAGCCGTCAAATTCAGACACACGCGGCATACGTATACATTCACTTGGGCAGACAAGCGATTGCAAATTTGAGCGTTTAGCAGTGTTGTCGCAAGGCATGTGCGTGTGCAAAGTTTGCGGGAGAGAGACAGAGAACTGGGTATAGTGCGATGGGTGTGATCTCTGGTATCACTTTGAGCGCGTTGGTGTAGACTAGAGCATACAGAAGCGGAATTGGAACTGCTCCCTTTGTACCGAAGGTGGCGATAGTGCCAACGTTCTTTGTACTCCTGAAGATTTAATGTCATAAACACCTACAGCCACGACCACCACACCTCACGAAGTGCCACGTGGTCCAGTCCCACCGGCCGAAGCAGATGAGATCGGCGATGACCATCGAAGCGATCCTATGAGGTTCAAACTGGATGAACGTGCTCCAACGCAAGTTGCGTTTAACTCGTCACCAACCAGCGACGAAACAAACCGTCAACATCGACTCGAGTTGGCAATGTTAGAGGAGAAAAGAGCCGCGGAGGAGCGCTACATCGAACAAAAGTTCCGACTACTTGCCAATATGAACTCGGCAGGTATGTAAGCTTACAGATCGGAACAAATAGCTCATCGACATACTGAAAACGTTCTTTGGTAGACCGGAGTACATCTTAGAGAGAACGATTGAAAGGGTAAGGAAGTTGCCACCGCCTAAAGACAAACTGGAATCTCTCATAGAATTCTCGTTGGCCGTACGCAATATCTGCGCCACAATGGAGACACGTAAGCTGGAGGCGCATTACCAGGAGCTGGTAGACAAATTGCCCAATCAGAGCATGAATCACGTATGACGACAATCGTTTGGACGATATCGTATTGAAATTGTCTTGCATCATGAAAACATAAATTGATAGTTTAAGCAATATCGTCAACTCGTTTCCAATTTGGCAACGACTATCGTTTCAAAGTTACGTGATTCATGCCCAGCATAAATTGGACTGGGCGATGCATCTGCGGCGAGGCACTGCACCAACCATTAAAGAATTCAGCGACTGGCTCTATCGAATGGCGGAGGCGGCCTCTACGGTTGATCACCCGCGTTCTACAAAACCAGCTCAGTCAACACGCATAGCCAAGGTGAGTGCACTCCGTCGAGAATCCCTCCTCCAAAGAAACATGACATTCCACAAAGAGACAACCGTTCCCAAGGACCATCTTGTGAATCGTTGGACATGCAACCCAAGCGTTCGACAACGAAATGCATCACGTGCGGTGCAGTTGAACATTGCGCTGCACAGTGTGGAAAATTCCATAGCTTGTCCGAACAGCAGAGGTGGGAAACAGTAAAAAAAAGGTGGAGCGTGTTATCGATGCCTTAAACCCCATCGCAAAGGGTGCTTCTTGAAAAATAGTTGCGGCATAAATGGCTGCCCTCGAAAGCATCATCCATTACTCCACAGCGAAGGTACCGAAACCCCCGCCGACGCGGAAACGGACCAAGCCCACGTGAGCACGCACCGAAGTAACAACTCCAGTAGCCAATATTTCCGCATCATGCCCGTGAACCTTCATACAGCCAGCAAAACCATTAATATTTACGCGTTTCTTGACGAAGGGTCTTTCGTGTCTCTCATTGACGAAGCGGCGTTCGAAAAACTCGATATCAAAGGAGTACCCACACCTACATGTTTGCAGTGGACCAGTGAAACTACACGCAACGAAAGTGCATCCGTAAGGGCATTAATACAGATCTCGGCTCCAAATACCGGCAAATTGTACTGGCTCAACAACGTACATACTATAAAAAATATCGCTCTACCTAAGCAAGCGATTAACGCAAGTGAACGTCGTAGTAAATATCCGTATTTAAAAGACATACCACTGCAGTCATATTACGAAGTTCAGCCAACTCTACTTATTGGGGCCGACAACTGGAAGATTGCTGTTCCACGCAGAACTCGTAAAGGCAGAAGGGACGAACCCATCGTTTCTAAATGTTTACTTGGGTGGAGCATACAAGGTACATCGACCGCATCGAGTTACGTGACTATGCACCACTGCGACTGTAGATGGCAAGAGCTGCATGATATAGTAAAAGATAGCTTTAGCCTTTATCCCGTAAAAATTCACAACGTACAGTCAGCCGACGACCAGCAAGCGATCGAAATTCTCGACCGGACATGCATCAAGGCGAATGGCGGATTTGCAGTCGGCCTTTTATGGCGCAACAGTAATGACACGCTACCAGAAAGTTACACCAACGCGCTCAATCGCCTTCACTGTCTGAAAGCTAAAATCAAGCGAGAGCCAGATTCGTACGACAAATTTTCTGTGCAAATTCGTAACCTATTGCAAAAGGGTTATGCGGTCGAGCTATCGGAGACGGAGATTACCAACCAGAACAAGCACCCTTGGTACTTGCCAATTTTCATAACGCTGAATCCCAATAAGCCAAAAAAATAAGGCGAAATCTCACGGAGTCTGTTTAAACGACTTTTTGCTTACTGGACCAGATCTCTGGAATCCACTTATCGAGATTCGGCTTGCGTTCCGGGTTAGCCAGGTGGCGACCTGCCGGGACATCGCGGAAATGTTCCACAAAATCAACATCCGCGCGGAGAACAGGCATGCACAACGATTCCTATGGTACGGAAAAGCCAGCAACCGCGTAAGCGTGTACATAATGCGCCCAATGACCTTTGGCAGTCAACATACATACTACATACGTGACAAGAACGAAGAATCATACCGCCAGCAGTATCCCCAAGCATACGAGGCCATCCGAAAGGCTCACTATGTCGACAACTACATCGACAGCCAAGGACAGCGAGCAGGAGGTTCCCGAGGTGGCAACTCTGGTTCGCAAGGTTCATCAAGCTGGTGGATTCGAAATCCGAAATTGGACGTCGAACTCCACTGAAGTCCTTATGCAGTTACTCGATGCCGACTTCGCAGCGCCAGTCCAATTTGGTAGCAACAATAGGTGTTAGGTATGTATTGGGTGCCACAAATTGACGTTTTCAAATATGTTCCCAGGTTCGCCCGGCTGCGACGTGACGTACTGATGGATGGCCTAGTCCCCACCAAAAGAGAGGTCCTACAGGTCCTCATGTCAATCTTCGACCCCCTGGGGCTACTGCCGTGTCACACAATTGGCTTAAAAATACTCCTCCAACATGTGTGGCGAGCCAACATAGGATGGGTGAAGTGCTGCCTAATTCACTACACCAACGCTGGCGTCAGTGGAAGCAACTTCTGCCAGATGTAGAGGCAATCGAAATTCCGAGATGCTATTCCCCGAATCTGACTAAATCGATTCGGGTACATCTCCACATTATCACCGACGCGAGCGAATATGCATACGCCGCGGCCCCTTATGTGCGGGTACATGGAGACAACATAGTCGACGCAACACTGGTGGCTACAAAAAGTAAGGTCGCACCGCTGAAGCCGATGACCATCCCACGCATGGAACTCCAAGCCGCAGTAATGGGTGTACGTTTGGCTCAAATGATCATCAACCTACGTGGTCTGAAAATCGGAAGCGCCACATACTGGTGCGATTCCAAAACGGTGTAACAGTGGCTAAAGATGGACTCCTGGAAAGATCCAACAATACGCAATGGCAATGGGTTCCAACAAAGTGGAACGTAGCAGATGGGGCGACGAAGGTCAATAGTATGGTGGGAAGTAAGCAGTGGCTGCACGGACCAGAGTTCCTAAATTGTACGAGAGCGAGTGGCCGCAGCAACCACAGCATTTCGAAGAAGCAGATATGACGGAGCTGAAAAAACACTTACACGTAACTCGAAAAAATGATGCCATAAAATTTAACGTGGAATATATCTCAGAGTGGCGTCGCCTATACAGAGCAGTAGCAACATTCCTTTTGTACTTCGATCGTTTGAACGCTAAACGACTCAACCGGACCAAACCGAACCATACTATTCCGGAACTGATCAACAAGGTGACCAACCTACTCCTCAAGCAACGTAAGCTGAAGCATACTCCGCAGAAATTAGTTTACTACTTGCGAAACTATCGCTAAACAAACAAAGCAGATTGGCTTTATTAAATGTTTACCTCGATGACAACGGGATCATGAGGGCTCAAAGCAAAGCCGACTCCATCAACTGCAGAAAAGACGCTATCGTTATGTTAAGGGAAAGCTAAATTACGTTCCTAATAGTAAAGGTATACCACGTCGAAAATCACAGTATGGCTCATGAGATGACTATGAACAACGTAATGGCCTCTTATTACGTGCCACGTTTGCGCGTTTTATAAAAGTCTGTGCGTAAATCCTGCCAAAAATGTAAGATAAATAACATCGTGCCTGAACCTCACAAATGGCGCCAATACCCGCAGCGAGATTGGCCAGCTTCGAGAGACCATTTACGTATGGACTACTTCGGACCCATACCGGTAAACGTCGGCCGGCATAAGGAGAAGAGATGGGGTGTGCTTTTTATTTGCCTGACACTACGAGCAGTACACTTCGAAATAGCTTACAGTTTGGATACTAGCTCCTGCATCATGTGCTTACACAACTTTCTGGCACGCCGTGGTACGCCGATGGAAATATACCCGGACAACGGCACGAACCTAAGGGCCACCGAGAAAGCTGTACGAGAGCAGCTGATGAAGATCGATTTTGACAAGCTAACCATAAAATACGATCGCATTAAATGACGCTTCAACATACCCGGCGCACCCCATATGGGAGGCGCCTGGGAACGACTCGTCCGAAGCACGAAAGCAATTTTGAAAAGCATCTGCCCGATGTATTCTTTCAACGACGAAAGTCTTCGTAGCACGCTGATGGAAGCAGAATATATTATCAACTCGCGCCCGCTGACCTTTGTAAGTCTCGAGTCATCGGACGACATCGCCCTCACGCCAAATCATTTATTTCTGAGCTCGGCAGATGGCTACAAACCTGTTTGCAGAGACGAGCTAGATCTAAGACAACGCTGGCACCAAACACAACTCTTCGGTGATAGATTCTGGCACCGCTGGGTAAGGGGATACGCACCAGTTCTTACTCGACGGGTCAAGTGGTTCTACAAATCTACACCAATAGCCGTTAGTGACGTCGTCATTGTCATCGATGAAAAGCTACCACGGAATCTGTGGCCGAAAGGACCAGTCATCAACACGTTCAGAGCTAAGGCTCGTAACTATACAAACTCAGTGCGGTACTCTGGAGAGCCCAGCGACAAAGGTGGCTAAATTAGACGTCGGCTTAGAAAGTTGTAAACAACCTAGGAATGTTCGATATTTAAGAAAGTATCGATATCATGAATCGATTTAATTCATTGCATGTAAAATCGTTATGGCGATATATCGGGCTGAACAATATCGATATAGGAAAAATCGATGTTGATAATCCTACTCCCAATTGAATAGAATATTAGACTTGCTTATCAACTCAACTAATTGTGTTATTTCCTTCTCGTATATATACTGAGAATTAAAACGGCATGCCGGTCGACTCAAGCGGTTTATCAAACTTAAGAGCTAAATAAATCACACAAGCTGCTGATTAAACCTGATGAAAAATAAATTTAAACTTAAATATCGATATTGCGGGTAAAGTATCGATGTCTTCGATATATCGACCTTGCAATATCGATTCAAAAAATCGATTATCGTGCCATGAAATATCGAACAATCCTAAAACAATCCGTGGGTAATTTACGGGTAATACTAGGTTCACATATAAGTAGATTATCCTCATTTTCGAGCTTAACTTCCTAATCTGTAATTAGAAAAAGAGATTAGCCATATAAAATTCTTCCCTTGTTAATCTGTAATTATAAAATAATCTCAGATTTAACCGATAGCTTTTCGGTGTCCATCCTAGTTTTATCGATTGTTTTTGCGAAGAAGAGGAGAAATGGCAAATGTAAAAGTAAACAAAAATGGACGCTAGCAAGGAAAAGAGGGTTTTAAAGGTGTTTTTTAATAAAATGTTGTTAAAATATATCTATATTGCTTAATATAGCAGAAAAACGTGATCACGGTGTCACAGAGAAGAAACATAACTTTTCCTTGAGATGTGAGAGTAACAAGCACAACAAATTTGACGGCTAATAATCTGAGATTTGCCTGTGTAAACGGGGTAATTAAAAAACGAGCTTTGATTGAGGTAATATTGATATGTGAACATAGTTTAAGGGTATGTTGCCGCCGAAACACCCATCGCACGATATCATAACACTCATCGTTCGATAACATATCACCCATTGTTCGATAACAAACCACCCATAGTGGAAAANCCGAAACTATTTTTGACCGACCACTGTGATTCACAGCTTGCATTACAAGATGCGCTTAGGCTTAATTTGGGTATTTGATCCAATACCGCGCCCGGCCATCTGTTTGAAAGCGATTAATTTAGTCTTGTCAGACCAAATAACCTTCAATTAAATCTTAAAAATGTGTTTTATTGCATTCTGAAAGGCCCAACATATCCCAATAGACAACGGTCCGGTTTTCGTGCGATGCAGGGAAATGCTACCACTCTTGCACATTTATTTTGATCAAAATTGTTTTTTTCTTCTTTTATACTGCCTTTCCGCTCAATTTGGCAATTCTTCGCATCGCTGTCTACTGATTTGCATTTAATTTTGATACCTTAAGCGCTTCTGTAATAGTGGC